GTGCGTTCGGCTACCTCGTCCAGGACACACCTCTTACCCCACAGCTTCATAAATACCAGAACTATCCGTAGCTTTTCAACCCCCTCCCCCCCCGTCCGCCCCATTACAGGCCGACTCACACATCACGTCCTTTTTACTCTCATGAAAGCCGCAACCATTGCAGAGCATGCAACGTGCCTGCGCACTCACAGACACGCAGAATCGCAATAATCGCCCATGGAGCCGCTACGGGAGCCCTATGCCAGCCCAAACACAACTAGCAAAACATTAGGTAACCAGTTTTTTTTTACTGCGCCCCGCTGCATAATAGCCCAAAAATAGCTGTAGCCCTATCTATAAATGGTGGAACTTAAACTAAGCTGCCCTTCACAAAGAGCCCGAAGACAAGCGTTGACTGCCCATGCCAAATAATCTTTAGAGTCTCTACCTACCCTAGTATTGCTCCATCGCTTGCACGAATAAAATTGGTTGGAGTATGATTAGTTCTTAAAGCCCAAAAATGCCTTCTTAGCACAATGATACCAAAAGCAACACGGGCCTTGACACGATAGTACCGCCCTAAGATAACAAAACTAATATTTATTAAATTACACAGAGTAGTCCGGACGCACCGTCCGCCAGCCTAGCGCAGGCATTAGGCTGTTTGCTGTGATATCTACTTGGTTTGCTCTAAAGGATTTCATTCAGGTAGATCCTAGCAAGCCAAGTTCTCATTTCAATGCCACTCAAAAATCAATCTAACAAAAGATACAAGTGCCCTCACCTTACCCAGCTGGGTCGCCCAAATTGTTTTTTCATTTTTCCTAACAATTCACCCCCCCAATTATCTAGCCGCTGCAGAATACGGCATAAATTTATTGATAAACCCATAACCAGCGAGCACCTTCGGCTAAACTACAGTACTGCATAGACCCTCAGCTTTGCCTTAGCACAACGTTTTAGATTAGCGATATTATAAATAACTATCGCATCTCAGAATACTATGTATAAGCCACCTGATCAGACCCACGCTAGGATGACCGATTTCTCCCTGCTAAGAATCGCTAATTTCGCAGTGATTCCTATTAGTGGACACATAACTGATCAAACCCTCAGTAAGCTCCCCCCCCCCTACACTTCAACCAGTTGCAACAAAATGCATAGTAGGTAGATCGTCCTCATATACTCGACCTACCAAAGACTACTTAATGCGGACAGCCCACCTGAATGCCCCCACAAGGACTAGGAAGCCACACTCCATCGAAATACAATCCTAGCGGAGTGAGGCTGACCTCATGAATAACTCAGACAATTGCATTCCACGCCAGATTCAATTAGAGGCTCCTTAAAAACATGCGTCAAACAAAAGCCCCAGGTTGTGCGCTAACAACATGGGCGGGGTACCCTCTGCCAGACTACGCCTCGCAACAAATAAGAACCTCTAAGTTGCGAAGTGCACAAAGCTTAGAATAAACAGGCCGTAACGTTCGCCCCCTCACCACCCCTAACTTGCAGTAAGCAATACACAGCCTCTGAAGCACGACCACGTCTAGAAAGCCCGACACCGCACACCTCAAGACACCAGTCAGACTTACCGCCGAATACGTCAGTAGAATGCACCACCATCCATGCGAGCAGTGGCTGAATCTGAAGACCAATTCATCGAGATGGATCTGAGTCAGTCTACGATGCCGACTTATTAATTGATACAAATAAAATTCGATATTTACACAGATCTAGTTGCGTGTGTGACCTCTCGGCTTACCTGCGGACTCTACAGAAACCACTCGATATTTCAAGACAGGACTAATTTAGCTTAATAAATAAGAAAAAAGGCCTAAACAGCCGCTCTGCGGAGTGCCGCCCCCTAGAATATTACTTCTACTGCGTTTATTGTCTAATCATTGAACTGCTCTCACCGAATAGGTTGATTTTACTCCCATCCCTAAGCGTAAGACCCTTCAAATTGCCAAAGTCTGATGAGTGACGCCACTCCGCCACATAGAAATTTTCATATTACACTACCCTCTTCATACGTCACTGCACTTTTTTTTTTTTTAAGGTAAATATTTAGCCTTCAAGTTATTTTTCTTTTTTTTTTGTTCCCTCCAACCATAACGCTAGCTACCCGCGAAACACGCGGCAGCCCTGACAGATAGAAGCCTGGCACAGAGATGGATAGCACTGGAACCTGTATAGACTGGGAGCCACATCTAAACGACCGTTCTGCCTACATGTTTAATTAACGCACTGAAGTATTGAAGGGTTCTTCCACTTAACACTACGTCTGCGAACCGGCTTTACCAAAATGCTGCACCTCATAGCTAGACATGGCCATAAGACTATGACTTTGTGTCCATGGTAAATCCCCGCCCGGGTACAAATGCCTCGTAGGTTAAGCTTCGCGATTTCACATTATGTAGCTACTGATGCCAGCAGCCTTCAATGTTGCACTAGCATTAAAAGCAGCCTCTTCTGAATGTTGAACCTCGCTTAAGCCACCTAGAGCAAAATCCAGTCTAGCAGACAAGTTTTTAGTGCTCAGCTGGCACTGACCACTGAACTACTTGGTTTTATACTCATGTCCCCTGCGGCCAGAGAGGCCGAGATGGATAACTATCTATAGGCCACCTGATAAAGGAGAGAACATTCACTGCCCCGTCACTTCCTTTTCATGCTAACAATTATGTACAGTGCGAACTTATTCTTGTTGCCACTTGCGATTCCTCCTCACGTCATTTTTGCTATCCTCAGACCACGCTACCACATACTTGGCACCCAGCCCTCGCGTAGAATTGGGCATTAAGATGATGTAGTCGCCTTGATCCCTTTTACCTCTCTACTGAAGCTAGCCCCCCTTTTCTTCGCTTGATACCCCCAAGTGCTTGCAAAGAGCACCCAAACGACGACAAGAGCAGCCATAAAATGATTTACTCAGGCCCCCTGCCGTATTTTATAAAAAGATACGTAGTCATGTATGTCCTTATTTTGCGTTTTCTACCGCAGAATGCCAATTTAGCAAACAATTAGTATTTTTTCCTGAACTTCACTGGTGCTTCACGTATCAAGACAATGATGGCACATGAGTTTTTAAGATAGTTGACAGTACCGATAACGATCATGCCAGCCGCTCAGATTAGTACATATCTCGTACCATTCTCATGAGTCTACGCAGTAGAGAATATTAGTAGAGAGCTTAGTCAAAGCAATGTCATACTGATCATGGGCAGCCATACACGGGTGCATGCCAATACCCTACACTTCGACCAGCTTTCGACATCACCCATGCCCCACACAAGCCCTTTGCCCAGAGCTCAGATGTAAAATACGGTATCACTCAGACGGCCACATGCTATACTGCATCAGGACGATTGTCGCCGCATGCAAATAGTTTGAGCTAGGTCACGTAAGAACGCCGGGGTCCTGGGGGAGCATTCGGCAGTGAACAGGCATACAGTAAAGCACAGATTAAACGTTGTAATAAAACATAATCGGCCAGAGTATCAGACGCCCCCAAAGAGAATGGTTTTGACCTAAGACCGCCAGAGAAAATGAATTACGTACCGAGCCCCATACCATGAAGAAAGCCAGAGGACCCCCCCCCCCCCCCCCTCCCCCCCCCCCCCCCCCCCATTAGAAACACAACCCCTCCCCCCCCCCCTCCCTCCCCCAAATATTTTTTTTTGAGCTAACCCACCCCCCCCCCCCCCCCTTTGCCTACGCTAACGCCTCGGACAACTGCAACGCATTGCCTCTCGGTCATTTCAGCGTGATCAGTATTAGGTGCTGCCGGAAGGCCCCCCCCCCCCCCCGGGGGTACTTATCCAACAGAACCCGAAGCTTGCCCCCTTCATTACACCTGATCATATAAAGGAAGATGAACCCGATCGCGCCAAAGACACAGTATGACTGCTTAACAATTCAGTGTGTGACCCCGCCCGGCCCATGTATTTAAATCAGACCAGCCACCACGATCGCGCGCTTAACAAATGTCCAGCGGCGAAGAATACACTTAAACTAAACTAGGACCCGAGTAGCAGCCAAAATTACTAGACAAGGCCGTACACTATCCCGACGATAACAGTGCCTTACGCGTCCTGCCGGGCCCCCAGCGATACCTCCGAAGGCCATGGACCCAACAATGGCCGAACCAGTCGCCATAGCCAATAATCACTTTATCGTGAGTTTATGGATCTTGCCCTGCCCTTGACAATACAAATCCACGCCCGATTGTCTAGCATTTGCACGAGGACCGTCGCGGCATAAGCAGAATGACAAGCTTTGTGTGTCCAAAAGCAATTAGTAGTCAACGTGAGGTTGCTGTGGTCCTAATTTCAAAACCATAAATCACAACCATAAATTTGATTGGCCTAACTGTGCCCTATTAGGCTTATTAAGGAATTTCCCTGTTTGTGTGTTGGTACTGACGAGAAAACACGAAACGCTAGGATCTGCCAATATTCCTCTTGTTTTAGCCTTATTCATACTGCATCTTTTCTTTTTTTTCCCTTTTTTTTCCTTTTTCTTGCAAGGTAACCCTTACTAGCTTTCATATATTTTTACTCAAATACCTGAAGTTACGATAGCCTATAGCCGGATATAACTAAGGCAGCAATTAATATACTAAAATCTTGTGCCCCCCCACAATGTTGCCTCGCGGATTATTGCTGGCGAGCCAAGTTCCCCCCCGCCCCCCCAATTTGGGTCAAGGTATATGGATTTGTCACGCTTATTACGTCATCACATAATTAGCCGGATGCCAATTCATCATGTCCACTCTCATAAGAGTCATTTAACGAGTTATCGCAAACTGGTAATAAATGAGTTTTAATATCTTAATAAATTTTTATATTATAGCTATCCAAGCATCAACACATGTATGAAATTATTTTTTTTTTTTACTTTTTTTTTTTTTTTTTTTTTTTTTTAAACACATTATGAATTCAATGCCAATATAAATATCAAATGCCCACTTTCAAGTACTCTTCGCGAAACGTTATACACGAATCACAATTGCTTATATAAAAACTTGCAGACTGGCAAATAAGATCCCCTCATATGGAGACTTATAAAATTATAAATTTTTTTTTTATTTGTTTTAGCCTTTTAAGCTATTTAGAGTTACATGATAGCCAACATGCACAACCAAAAATTATCACATAACACGGAAATACAATTAATGCTTTCTCAATACTTAGCCTCCTAATCAAAAGATTGCGCCTAGAAAATAGCAATGTACAACTCAAAAACTGGTTATGAAATGATGTTGCTAATCTCCTGATCGCCCATAACTTATTGCTATACAAAAAGTAAAGCCATTATTACATGATACAACCTTAATAGCCATTATGAATAACAATGTTTCAACCAAGTCCAGGAATGCTTTTGGTTGTGCCCCAAAATAACGCACAGATTTGTGAAGCAGTTCACAAAAATACCGGTTTGAAATCAACAAGGCTGCTACATGATCATTTAATTTAGCCCTGTAATAGAGACGTGATAATCACCAAAATAGCCTCAAACACGCAGGGTAAAATATTTCAGCCAGATTTTATCGCTAATACTACATGTAAAATCAAAGCCCACCGTAGTAATATAAACCAGCTCTCTGCCTAAAGATATAAAAATGGCACTATTTGGCAGCGTTTTATGAGCCAAGCATATTTAATTGAGTAGCCTGCTGCCCTAGGTCAAGAAAATATTGAAAACGCGATCATGCGGTCAATTGTGCTACTCATCTTAGTATTTATGATGACTGCACATAAGTAAAGCACTGGCCTTTTTCGATAATTATAAGTGTGCCCCACCTACTTAAACTAAACTAGAAAGCTCCCCAGTTCGGATCTTTCTACATGTATTCGCAGTAAATACTGAGAATAATTTTAGCTTTTTTTTTTTTTCAAGTTTACTATTAGTAAGACCGCCAAGACTATTAGCCCCCCCCGTCAGATATTAACTCATGGTTGCTTTTTTTTTTTTGAGATAGAACTGGTTAAATCATCCTCTTAGTAGAATGCTATAACATGGTTTGCCGTCACGGATCAAGCTACGCATATATTGACTTGGTTAAAAATTGTAAGAAGTAATGATCTTGAAGCTGAATTAAGAGTAAAGGTTTGCGCATAACGTTTAAGGAACGCTATTAAAAAAATATTTTTTTTGTTACAATACGGAATGACTAATATGTTCCCTGCTATATATAAAATGACGGTTTCATTGATATTCAAAGCCCCTTTACAAATACTTTTTGTAGCTCACATCTTGTGAAGTTTACTGCATATCCGCCCCCCCCCCCCCCCCCCCCGTCGCATCAGCATTGACAGCCTGCCTTGTTGGCTGTTGTTCGAAACAGGGTGGGCCTGTTCTGGGTAAATTCATTGGCGTCCTTTTATCACCTTGCGCTGCGTAATAAGTTGTGACGGAGTGTACGGGTGAGTCAAGACCAATGTGAGCGCCTTTTCTTTGGAGGTATCACTGGGTCTCAGTCAATTCTTGTCGTGGCCGCGTAGTCCAACCTTTTGGGGGCCACAACATTCTTTTTATGTAGTACATGTCTCACTAGTTAATTTGCTACTTTTTGTGTCGACGTAGATGCATGCTAGTTTTTCTGACAATAGCCTTTTATACTGCTACTACATAACCGTCTTTCGGTCATCTCACGTACACCGTTCTATTTGCGATAAGAATTCAGTCCGTCTTCCCAGTAGGTGTTTGTAAGCTGTAGTTATTCCAACGGCGATTCATTAATCAGTGCAATGACGCCGGCGACATGGGTAGATGGCCAATATTCAGCCAACTTGCCTAATAGCGGATCCCACCGGAGGGGGGTTAGCTTTTCGTAATTGTCAAGGGATGGGCTGTTGCGGCATTACCCTCCCGACCGTCGCGACTACACTCGTGTTGTTCGTAGCTCGTTACAAACAATCCAGGCCCGAGACAGTGCTGTTGGCGACGACCCCTGTGACACCAGTTTCAAGTCACCGGATCTGATCCCTACGGTCGAAATTTTGCCTTCAAACTCAACTCCAAACTGTCATTAATCGGACATCCAAATACACATACTAACCGCACCCCAACTGTACAGACTTAAAACACTTATGTGTCGGAGTAGAAGTTAGTAACGCTCCATGCCCTCATAAAGTAGAAAGTATTTACTCATCGGTCGCCGTGGAATGATCGCAGCTCATGTGGCTCTACAAGCCACGTGGCTGAGGCAGGTTCCAATCTTCCAAACAAATCGAACTTACTATCCCTCTACTATACATCCTATGCGTTTCCACAACGTAGTCTGCCGACCGCGCTGCCAGTTAGGTATGCGCATGCCACTACTCACCCAGACGTTCACAATAATAAAAGAACAGGGGTTCCGTCAATTCAAGTAGCGCTTGCACCATCACCCAATCGATCCTTAGCCCATGTAGATATCCCCACCCCCCGGGAAACACCGCGATGCATACGTAGAGCCAAGGCCGGGACACCACTATAAGCCCGCGGCATTCATTAGTTACCCGCCAGACGGCCTACGCCGATGCTCACACGAGTAACCGTTGAGTATAACTCTGTGTACTTATAACTACCTGAATTCCTAGCCTCCTAGCAAATGTTTCTTGCAGTAAGTCCCACTAACGTCTCATCACTGGTACTCTCGCCTCTCTAGACGAACTGCAAAGGGAAAGGTGAAAAGAACAACTAACAAGTCGCCTTTTTTTTCTTGCGTCCCCGATTTGTAAATTACACTCTTTGCCCACATTATAACACTACGCCAAACGTTCCGCCCATGACAGCCTTACCGACTCGCCAACACCGGCCGCCTAGCGCTGGCAGCCGCCCAGGGCTATGTTGCTTATGATAAAAGGCTCGTCGCCGACTTACACTGGTCTCATAGTCGTACTGGAGCGCATGCCCACCGTTCGCCGTTTACCCTGACATTCGCAGTACCCGTGCCTTTGTAGTAGATAACCAAACTTAGGCATTTTTAGCACAGCCCAAATTTACAGAGACGGAAATTCGTTCTCACCTCTACACAGCTACATCTTGTTCAGCTCAATGCATTGGCACGACTGTGAGCCGTTCCGGCTCTTACTGGGTTCTCACGGCTTGCAACTTCTCCCTGCCACTGGACTAAAGTAAGCATCTTCAATACCTCTATCAGACCCTACACTAGCGCCACACAAAGTTTGAAACTCAGTCTTTTTGGGGCATAGGTATTCGGTCCACAAGAGTAATTCGCATAGGCCCCCCCCGCAGGTCGTTGACACCCTTGATTTCCAAGAACGAGGGCCGCGGGGTAAGTTTGCCTCACTTTACCTGAGTCTCGACGACCAGCCCGCGAACAGTCATCTAATTATACGATCGGTCCTCTATTTTATCCTCATCCCTGGCCCCGTTGATTAGTTGGTGAGAGACGCATACTATACATAGTGATGTTCGAGTGCGCTGCAACCTATAACCCAAAATAGCTTATTAATCATATTTTACATTGAAAACGCTATTAATCAGGGAAAAATACGGGGACAGCACTTTTGCTATTCACTCAGTCAATCCAGAGCTGGGCGTGTTGTTGTTCATTATAAATTGCACAACTATTATTAAGAGCCTAATCAAGCCCCTACCGTGCGAACCCTTCTGCCACTGCAATGTTTGCTCCGGCCATGTTGTCGACCTAATACGTTTTCTGCAGCAAGTTAGGTGCCTTGCTCCAAGGAATTATTTTGACATCATAAATATAATTACTCAATACTACAACAGCATGGTGGACCTCGGTTAAAAGTTTTTCCTATGTGTCAATAGTAACAATTAAAACAGGCTCCAATTGATCAAATACTTATATTGCCCTACACATTGCTCAACATGTGCTTTCTTAATCTTGTCCTCTAGTCAAATACGTAGGATCTGGATAATTGCTGCACCTTTCGTGTGGGTGTTTTGTTGGTTCTTTACTATACACCATTCCCCACCCATCTAAGCGTGGAATCACTATCTTTCAAACTATGATCTAATGTATTGACGTCTAATATCACAAATACAGATGTCTTAATGAACTGATACAGAAGCGCACGAGTTAAATGCACGGTGTAGGAAAAATCTTGTGGGTCAAGTAAGTTGACTTTACAACAAAACGTCATACAAAGAGCGAATATATGTTGAGCACTCATTTCAAACAAGTTAGCAAGGGAACTCGGAGAGACCACCCCCCCCCATTACGTCAACCATAGAGTAGGTATTTATAAACTTATTTTTAATTCACTGCCATATCATACAGAAAATACCGCACGCTTTAGCTAAAGCAGTTTACTAGTATGATAATCGACCTTTGCTGTAACCCAAGTGTTTGCTACGCATAGCCGAATAATTCATACATATCGCAATATGATTAAGCACACGGCATACAAAGGTAATCTTGCTGTTTTGAGGTAGAAGTGACAGTGAATCCACTACATATTGTAGAACACTCAGTGTAGTGGTATTCCATAGACGACTGCCCAGAGGCATATACTGTGATAGTCTTATCTGATATATATCCCGATAACAATTCGCAAACTCTTATAGCTCAATTAGGACTGGTGAGTAGTATCATGAAAAATACATGATCACGCTGTTAAACTTTTATCGTCCGTAAATACAAATGCCAATACGCTTCCAACTGATATAAATAATACAGCGTAGTGACCATCAAAACGGGTATGATTCACACTTCCTTAAAATTAACAGGGGGGGGGCGGGGGGGGTTGGGGGGGGGGGGCGGGGGGTCTTTTGGTTGGGGGGTTGTGTGGGGGGGGGGGGGGGGGGAGAGGGGAGGGGGGGAGCGGAGATGTTGTGGCGCACGCGGGGGTGGGGCGGAGCTTGGGCTGAAAGGGGTCGTGGGGGCGTTGCGATACAATATAGTCGTGTCATAGGTCATCGTCTCGACATTCCTATGGAGATTGGTATTATCTTGGGCAACCGCCGATTTCAGATTGATAAGTACATGGCTGCTGTTTTTGGGTTAAAACTCTTAACAGAAAAACGACAAGAAAAGAGACAAAATACAAACAAATAAAAGAAAATAAAAAACAAAAAAAGAACAAAAAAGCTCCGGTCACTTTGATGTAAGACGGTCGCCTGCACTAGGAGTGGCGGGTGTCTTTCCCATGCGCGTGGGTGCTGACTGCATGGGCAACCCCAAGTGTCTACAGACCACAAAAGCTCCAGTGTATGTGGTCAACACTGTATGGAAAACATAGCGTATTTGTGTACACGTTGTGTGATTGATAGTTAGAAGTCCTATGTTGACCGACATGATGGAACTCAAGCCAGCAGAGCAAGGCCACCGAACACAGGACTGAGCCTCTATGATTAAGCACAAGTAATATCACGCGGGACTATGATGCTGCTGTGAAACTGCGAGACATCCTTCGTTAGGTACGCGATACAAACGATTTCATAGAAGTGCCGGTGGAAAACGCCGTAACTTTGTTTGTCACGTAGATGTCGTTCGGAAAACTTAGGCTACGATTTTACAGACCAGGTGTCACAATTTTTACTCTTATGTGTGTGAAAACCAGTGTAATCAGACGTAGGCCACATATCCCAGAAATATAGGTCTATGCACACGAGCTGGCTGATGGCCGAATTGGTGTAATGGAATGTCATGCGGACTATGATCGTGGCAACGACTGCTGTTACTGTAGCTCTAATGCACACAACGAATATAACTTAAAACAATGACTAGAAGTCGAACCTTTGTATAGGCGTTCGGTAGGACGAAAAATGGGAAAGTAAATAAACACGAAGGTGAAGCTACCTTAGTTTACTTGCGCTTCAGGGTGATTTTCGTAAGATCTTCTAATTTGTGCAATAGCGATTTCTCGATGTTTTCGGTTACATCAGAACTTATCACACCGCCAACCAAGTAGCTTGTGTCAGATAAGTATGGAGGAGATTTTTTGGACATAACCACCTGTTTGTATTATGGGTAGCAGTATTTTTAGTTGCTCATTTCTTAATAAGTCTATTAAAGATCCAAATAGCTTATAGTTAAGAAAAAGAGTAATTTTGTTTAGTAAACAAAATCGGTAGCTCCGATTCACCGACTAAGCTTAACAGCATCCTCTTGAGTCGTCGGCGTCAAGGTTTATACTTCACATTTGATTGCACAGGTGTTCAAATGGACCTTCCATTTTACTTTTCGGAGGTTATGTTTGCATGCTGTAACAATGAACACAATTGATAATGTTTTTATAATTAATATTCAGGTGTTACAATATCCACTAATTGAATGAATACCACTATGCAAGTGCATAGTTAACGACATCATGTGTGTGACGAATGTATTAGTAGATTAGGTCAGGTAACTGCAAGAAACACATAAGCCATTGCAAAATATTGCTGAAGCTTCACGCTGGTACGACCATTTTTATGTACCCACGTCTCGAATTTCAGACGGAATTTAACTACGTCAAATAACCAGAAATCTACACTAAATGAATAGTGAATTTATATTGGCGGTTTTGCGCAGAGAAATAGGACCAACGCTTAATTTGGTTAGTTTCTCCAAGAAAATTGACACTAGTAAGATGCAAACGAAGAGCAACGCTTAATAAACGAGCTAATGTTTAATAATGCAGCATTCTCTGAGCTATTTATCAATGTACTTTTGCACAACCTGCATAGTAATTATACGTATTCGAAATTGCACACTAAAAATTATCTCTCATTGCCTTTCACATGCATGATCATGTTCATATATATTAGAAGAAATATTAGCAACATCACTAACGGCCAGTTAAAGTTGAGAAAGTCCATGGCTATTGTGTCGCAATGCGAAATGCTATGGCGTATGAAAAAGCATTTCATTAACATTGTAGAGTCCGAAATTTAACATAACACAACTATTATGCTTATCCTCAACTTCCCGCATTTATTGTTGTACTGTGGTTTGAGTGGAAGTTAAGCAGGTAAGATGGGACCTAGTAATTCACAACACTAACACAACTGTGTTCGGCTATTAGGCATGACAATCATTAAATCCAGCATAACCTATTCATCATTCTCCGGACCCCAGCCCGGCATTTAAGAGGTTGTAACTGACAGAAATTTAAATATGATCTTCATTCTTTTTGAAAAGCTCATCATTTGCTTCTCTATCATCTTCCATTTAGACTGCTACGCACAAACTACGCAAGCCTTTGCAGTTATATGCAGGCTTGCGAAACACTTGGCCAAATAATCGGAAGCAGGTGAGTAAAATAATAATGCCTTTCCTGCGCCAAATAGGTTAGCGAATGCAATCATAACTCACAAGGTGTTCCCTGTAGAGAAGAGCCAGGCGGTTTATGCAAAGATAGGTGAAAGTATCTAACATACTTTATCTGGTAATCTAATGGATCAAGATTTTAGCCCACAGTAAATCTTGACGGACGACTGTGTTGCATACATTGCTCGTCAAAGTGAGTTAGGTCATGCCGGCGCCACTTGTGGCGAAATACAGCAAAGTGGCTGTATCACTTGCTATAGCACTCATAATTCAATTTTCCATGCCACCGGAAGACTTATTCTCAAAATTGTATGGAAGCAGGTGTTTGCTAAGCTTGAACTGTCAAGCGCTTGCCTACAAGGGCAGGTTGCCGAGGACTCGAAAGAGTTAGTAACGATCAACACACCGTGGGCTGTATGAGTACACCCGGTTGCCTTTAAGCGCAAATCGGCACCAGCCCTTTTTCAACAGCTGATAGCTACTGTGCTGGCAGGAGTTCCTAAAGTCCCTGAGTATCTGGATGACATCACGATAAGGGGCCGAAAAGTGGTGGACTAATTTAACCACTTGGAGTAGATTTTCGTAGTATCCAGTCTTATGGTTATCGCATTCATGAAGACAAACGCAGTTTTGCATCCAACCAATAAGTAACTTGATCTTACTTTTGAATTACTCTTAAAACAATTGCATGATGCTCTGGCCGGCGCAGAGAATAAAAAACAGCGATCTGTCTACTGCATTGAGAACGGTGGATTAGGCTTGGGTGTTATTGCTCAAGCTTTTTCACTCTTATTCTCTCGTTCTAACTTCACTTTTATCCCACCTGATTTCGACCCCCAAATTCTGGACCACCCCCAACAAGCTTTGCTAGGCGTTTAACTTGAGTTTTAACCCATATGCAAACGCGGAGGTTCAGCCCTGTCCTGTCGACAAGCCCAAGTCCAACCAAGTGGTTCACCCCAGTACATCGGCTTTCGTTTGGAGCCATTGATTCTCCTTCAGATTAGCATGCCACCATGTACGTACAATGCTGCAGGTCGGTCAAAAGTCAGCACTTGCCAGAACATTAGAGAACATCTTCTTTGATAAATGCTACTTATAGGAGACTCGTATGCATGACTCGATCTATGTGCTCACCCTGCGATCCCCTACAGGTGACATTAGCAGTATTTGCTCATTGAGCTTATCCGGTGACGATGCAGATTCCAGCATCAGCCAAGCCGGTGTTGGTAGTACTCTGAGTCCGCGGGCTGAAGCCGCTCTGGTGGTTTGAGTCTCAATCATTAGCCGGCTGTGTGTGAACAGATTGTCCGCCTCGTTCAAAGCTTCGAAGTTGCGCGGAATTAATAAGTGTCTATTCATCATCGCTGCCTATGCTCCTACAAACTGTAGCGATGACTCGGTATAAAACGACTTCTAACGCCAACTGACCGGGTTCCTTTGCCACAGAAGAAGCAAGCACTGTTGTGCTGGCTGGAGATCTGAACGCTGAAGTTGAAAAAATTATCCACTGATGAACTGCATCTGGGCGGCCAACTTGGTTTAGGCTCCAGTAACGATAACGGTGAGTGGTTACCTTACTTGTGTGAGGATGCTGGCTTATTTCTTGCGAGCACTGATTTCCGACAACACTCGCCGGAGGGTGACTTGGCGCCCACCAGCCTTGGACGCAAAACCATCACATTGCGAACAGTTATAGCTGATGAGGCTGCGTCCATAACTGCCGCATGATTTGGTGCACATATGTGGACACCGATTATGCATTTGTATGTGCCGACCTGCGGATGCTTTCGGTGGATACCCACAACGACGCTGTGAGCGTTTTAACATCAGTCATCTGGCTAAGCCAGCTGTGCTGAAAGCGTATCGAAGTATGCTGACATGGGTTTAGTAAGCGCTCACTGGAGACAATTAAAGGTTCCCTGGTCGCATGTTCATCAGACCTTATTAGCAGCAAGCAAATCCTCAGGTGGTAAGTCTAATAGCTGACATATACATTGGTGCTTTTGCGGTCTCTGGAACTTATCGATGCTTGTCTGCACATTCCGGCTGGAAGCGAAAACAGTGAGAGTCGCAAAGAACTCCGGGACAAACTCCGTGCTACTCTGAAGACAGACCGCTAATTCTGATGGTTTCTTTGTGCATCAGAGATGGAATATCCGATTCCCTTGGCAACCACTGAAAGCTATTCCGTCTAATACAGGAAACAGGGAGCTGGAGAATTGGTGTTCGTCAAACTATTAGTGAGGACAGTGGACAGCCTAATCACAACTTTTCAAAAGGTTTGGTGCAATAGTTTGAGGATTTTACAAAGCCATTTAGTCGCCCGGAATTGTTAGATTCCTCATCTGCCAATAAGCGCCTTACACTTTGGGCTATCTTTTGGATCAACCCTCTCACTCAGAAGTCGAAGGTAATATCGGACTGTTGAAGTTGAATAAATCCGCAGGACGAAATTCTCTTACTCCAGACCTTTTGGAGACCTGCTCCTGTAAATGGTTTACACGAGCTACTGTTGAAACTATGGGAGCAGGACATTGTCCTAACCGACTGGAGCCGCTGCATTATGGTTCCGATTTCCAAGGGAGACGTGCATTCGGAATATGGCAAACATATACGAATCAGTCTGATTCCCATCGCCTCAAAATCACTTGCCTCTGT